ATTTAAAACTTAAAACTATTCCCCCATAGGCCTATATTACTACTAGTTTAACGCCAGCGTTAATATAGCGAACGCCGTTTGTGTGAACACTTTGGAATTTTAATTCGTGAATTAGCTTACGCCTGGCGTAAGCTACGCCAGTCTTACGCCGTGTGTGTGAACATAGCCTTATAGTAATACTATTGTTATTAAACTTAATTTTAATTAGATTAGTGTTTTTAAAACTGTTATAGATTAAAACAACTAATAATGCTTTACATATTTGGATAGTGACAATAATAATTGTAATACCCATTAATGTTATGTTTTAGTACACTGAAGAACAACAAAATTATTATTTTTTTTTATTTTTTCTTTTAACCTTTTTAGTTGGGTCTTAACATTCTATGCATGCTCCTTATATTATTCTGCTCATTCTGGGTGCCTTATAAATACTGAATTTCAAAGTAGTAGTAGTAATAATATTATTCATTAATTTAGTCTTGAATTCCCGTCCTTTGTCCAAGTCTTATCGTTTTGCTCAGTGGCCTTTTAGAAGAATTAATATTTAATTTGGCAGAGATGTCTTTGTGAACCATCTTCAGAGCAGAGTAGAATTTAATGATCATGAATAAATTATAGACATAAAGAACTAGGGTAGGCCTACACTGAAACCAGTGTCATAGTTTGTCCAGTCTGTTAGTTGTTTTGGAAAAAAACAAATCACAAGCATAAATATGGTCATGATGACATCATATCATGACCATATATAGGCACATGACCATATATAGGCACATCATGACTATATATAGGCACATTATGACAATATACTGTATAGGCACATCATGACCATATATAGGCACATCCTGACCATATATAGGCACATCATGACTATATTTGGGCATATCATGACCATATATAGGCACATCATGACTATATTTGGGCATACAACAGTTTTTGTCAAAAAAAAAATCTGGTAGTCTAGACCTTAAGTATTGATGAATTTGAAATATACCGCAAGATGACCGGAAATGGCACACACAATCTTAAAATTAAATTTTTCTTTTCCCCTACTTTTTTTTTTAGCAGACATTTAGAGGGAATCAAAGGGGCACCTCCCCTCTGAATTTGCTTCTGGTTAAAACAATAAAAGCACTCAAAATTATACAACATAGATCACAGAAAATATTTAGAATACATACCATTTTATATTCTCGCATATAAGGCGTTCCACATATAAGAAGACTCGGAGTTTCTGATTTTTGGATTGGATGATTTTTGTCGGGTGTAATGGGCTTCCTTTGTTCATTAAAATCTAAATATTTCTCGCATTTAAAATTGTATTCATACTAACAGTAGTATAGCTTCATTTCAGTAGTAAATTTGCGTATTACGGATGATCTACAAATAAGACATGATTTTAAAATACAAGATTTGTATGTGTTGCACGTACAAAACTAGTTTTTCAATCGTAATTTTCTATATAAGCCTAATCTTATTCTCCAGAATAAATACCTATTATCATTTGTTCTACTATTAAATTATAATTATGTATTTTTCTTAGCGTAACCTTCAGAAGTCAGCATCCGTGACTATCCTTTGTCTGTAGTCTCCTGTTACCGTAGTTAACATTTTATCAAATGTACGGTAATATTACAAATAGCCATGATATGTTAGCCAGCACATTTCAAAACCATATGTCCATATTTTCTTACAATCATCCAATAATCAATTGAGCAGAATTATGTATGATTATTTTAGTGCTATACATTTAAGAACAAAGCTTCTGTTTTATAATTATTTTAACATAGCAGTCTCTGTGTATTAACTTTTATTTGGAAGTGTCCATATTCGTGCTCTTTGTTTGTTAATAATGAAAACATACTGAGCTATCTTTCCTATGATTGGGTGTTGATTTAGATGAACCGGTACACATCTTCTTTTGGCCTTCCATCTTCGTGTATTAAATTGCTGATGAACAGTGCGATGTTGGTTTTGGTTTGGTAAAGGTTTTCATGTGTTCTGTGAGTTTAGGTTCATGGTTTCAATTTTTTTTTTTTTTTTTTTTTGTACGAAAGTTTAAATACTATATTTGATTGTAATTGTTGTCAAGCGCCTCGAGGTTGGTTTCAACGAAAGGTGCTATACAAATCGCAAATTAGTTATTATTATTTAGTCAAGACATCTTTTGCATTCGTTATTTTTCAAAGTATTGATTGTTGATTGGTTTGAGATCTTTGTTTATTTTTTTGATCCATATGTACTTAGATCTTCCTTTTTTTTTCCTTTTGCTTTCTTCATGTGTTGCTACTGTAGGTGGCGCTAGTGAGGGCCAGGGGTCCATATTAGTAGACTCTATTTATAAAATCATTAAATAAGCCTTTAAAACCCCTAAATTGTCAAATTTTGGGGCTTCACCCCCTGGACCACTTTTGAAACATTTTGAGCAACACGCCAACTTCACTCTTGTCGGGGACATCAGCCCACTCATCGGGGACCTTGGCCCATTCGTAGAGCAAATCCTGGCACCACCCCTATCTTGCCGGTGTCTCTTGTGGTAGTCGTAGCTGCAAAGTATTGAAAAATATGGAATAAACAACATATATAACATAAATATATTCATTTAATAAAATAGTGTTTGTATCAAGTTGATTTAAAATTCTCATTGTTTTTTCATAACTAGGTCAGACTTCCAATGTTAAGTCCAGAGTTCCTGATGGAAGAGGTAGAAAACGAAGAGTTGTTTCGACGGAACCATGCCTGTCGGGATCTCGTTGACGAAGCAAAGAATTATTATCTGGCAGTAAACAAAGTAGTCTCTAAGTTCTCACCCAAGTCGATAACAAGCGATCGTGTTAGACCAAGAAAAAGCTGTGCAGGTAGCTCATAACGTTGTGTGTTATTTATTAATATTATTTTTATTATATTTGTTACAGAAACATTTTTTAAAGTAATATTTATTCTAAATATTCTACCACTGTGCGGTTGGCTGAGAGGTAATGTTCCTGCTTCTTGTGCTAAAGGCACCGGTTCAAACCAGGCCAGCGTTTGGTTTTAATTGGCTTCCTGAATAACCCTCATATTAAGAGCTATGGTAGGCGGGAAGGACAGTGTATCCGTAAGACTGGTGGCACTGAACTGCTACAGCCACTGGCCCCCAGGCCCTGGGGCCTAGCCCAATTTTCCGATTTCTGATAAGAATGAGCACAAATACAAAATTATTAATTGTAATTTTTTTTTAATTTTCTTTTTTATCAATTTTTTTAACATTTATTATTATCTCCTCAATTTTCTGCTCAATAGTATCCAGCAGATATCAACACATTAGTTCACCCTATTATGATACAGTTTTGTTTTTTTTAACTACTTTATTTAAAATTTGTTGAGGTTTATAGCACTTGTGATTTGACAAAGCAAGTTACAAGAATTTTAAACATTTCTGAGGAGGCTATGTAAATTAAAGCTTCATAAGGATAATTGCTTTTAAGCAATTTAGGAGTTTAGTTTTAAATCAAACAATAATTGAACCATGAAGTACCACATGGAAACTATTGGGCAAATGTGGCCCTGAATTTTCCACCCCCAACAGAGGCTACTTAACCCATCTCCCCTGGGCTGGAAAGATTAAACTAGGCCCATAGGTTACTAAATATAAGCTATGGATAGTCTAGGAGAATATAGGCCCAAGACCTTCCCATTCTCCTGCAAATTTTATAATGACTTCTCATTTATCACAGAATACATAGTTGGTTCTAAGATATTATTGAGAGCAAGATTGCAGGAGGCCAGGCAATTGGTTTTTACTATCATAATTTCTCACCACTACATTGAAACTAGCTTAAGTCGAATCTAAAGTGTCACTGAATTATAGTCCGACTTAGATTAAATTTGACTAAAGCAAAGTCAAATTTTATTCGAGTTATATCACAATAGCAACTTGACTTTGAGTTAGGCCTTACAGAGACCGGAACAAATTAGCACGCACTGATGGTACACGCACAATGTTGACTGCACATTTGGCCTAGTACTGTAGAAGTACTGTAAAACCTAGGCTACCTAAACTTACCTTGAAAGCAGTATTCTTCAGAGTAGCAATGCATTACATTATTCCTCAATTATTACAGTATATTTAAATGTTTTGTTAACTGCTTTTCATGCCAATCTTTTGAATACAGTATAAAGAGGAATCAGTCAATACTTAAATTAAAGCTTAATCATATTTATATTGTTAAACTAAAATTTAATAACTGATTTTTGCATGGCCATCAAGCGAACACGTTTTAAATACGATAAATTCTTTTAAATAAATTTTAAAATACGATAAAACTACTCATGCATGTGCTTGCTTCTCGCTGCACCGTGAGGAGAGCAGGCGATGCTCTGCAGATAGTTTGTATGCAAGGAAGATCGGGATGTAGATAAAACTAGCATATTTGTTTTATATGACGGGTTATTCCCTATACCTAAATTCCATAAAACATTTATTTTACAATTACTGAACGTATTTTACAATACAATTTAATTTACTGTATTTAGAAAAGAACTAACACAACCTGAAACAGTGCTTAAACATTAGTCGCTTGTCGACTTTACCACGTCTGAACAATAGTGAGGAATGTGATTTGAGTCGCATGTAAAATTAACTGCACAAAGTAGCGCTATGCAATGTAAACACGAGTCACTTGTCGGGCTTACTTAGCGCTTGAATTTCTGCATTGCCAAATGGTTGAGTCACTTGTTGTCACTTGACAGCTTAAAATGATGGAAGTTTACGTCAAGATTTTAATTTCAACTTACGGACTAACAATTAATGGAAAACAAATCAATTTCACATGTAAAATATGTTCGACTTTTGTTTTTATTTGACTTAAATTTAATAGAGTTAGAGCAAATATTAACCATGGTAAATATAGGGAAGATGAAGTGACATGAAAATAATTTCAACTTTGACAATTTTTCAACTTAGGCACATTCGACATAAAACAGCACCCATTCCCATGGTTGTTTGCCCGTTGTTTTCCTTTAATAAATGATGATTCAACTCCACAGACATCCCAACATTCATTACACTGTAAAGGACTTTGCTAATTTGTCAGCTTTATGTTGTTAATTAACTATATGATTAGCTACCTCAACCCTCCCCAAACATAAAAGAGCATGTTTTCATACTATAAAAGGAGATTCAATTCTCAGACAAAAATTAGGGAACCATAATGGTAAAATAATTCAACAGGAAACTACGTAATGCCTACTTGAAATAAAGTGCTGTCGCTAGTTTCCTCATTTAATTTGTACGCAGACAAGACTTTCTTTTGATATTGAGGGACTAGTCAATAGATTTCACGATGGTTTTTAGTTCTAAACACCACATAGAACAAAAATGGTTAAAAACACCTGCTTTGTACAGAAGAATATCAATCACAATTGATTAATGGTTTTTTTGCTGTGTAACACATGTTTTTTTTTTTTAACCTTACGCTGCACTTGTCAGTAAAATATTTTTCTTCATGCTTCATTGTATATGCTAAAGTACATATTTCAAAGTTTACTTCAGTTCATTTATATAGGGGGCGCTGTTTAAATTGTTTTCATCGTAAGAAAGTGTAGTATTTTTTATAGGCTGGATTTATAGAGGTATAAATTTTAAAGCAATAATTGGAATTATGCTAATGAAAAACGCATCAAGGTTACTTGAGTCCATTTGTATGTGTATTACTGATATTTATTTCCATCACAAGAAAGTGGATTTATCATAATATAGGCTTACATTTTTCAAATAAAAGATATAAAACATGCTAGAAATAAAATGCTATATTATGAAGTTGAAAGCACATCAAGGTTAGATTGTAGTTCATTTGCTTAGAGAACGCTATCTATATTTATTTCCATCACAAGAAATCCTCTATGTTTTATTGGAAGACTAGAAGACAATTCTTTTGTCTTTACATTTATTCTGCAAATGGTTACACAAAATTGAAATTCATGACATACTGTACAAGAATAAGAACAGTTTAGATTATTAAATAAACATCCTTCTCGAATAAGCAATGCACTAAAATAATTAGAAACATACTTACTGTACCGTATTCTATTTTCAAATTTCAATAAGAGTTGTGGAATATAATGTGCCTTCATAATCATCGGGACACTTTACAACTGATTTCTCACATGCTATACTAGCTTGCAAGTAATTAAGGCCAGCATACAACACATTTCAACAAGATTATAGTAACATGATAAACACAATTCCAAACATTTTTTATAACAGTATAATAGTAGATGGACCCATGTTAGTCTGGTCAAAGAGAAAATGGAACACTATTTTCAGTATGGTCTGGTAGATGTATGAAAATAAAAACACTGGTAGCACTTTATAACTATTATAGACTATTTATTTAGTAGACCAAATTCGTCACCAAAAGTGATGACGTCATCAAGATTTGGCCGAGTGTGTATCAAAAGTTGTTTACATCGTAAAGTCTTATGCAAAGCATCGAAAGTGGTATCTATTAAATCGTCTAAAATGTAATGAAGTTAGCGTACTAAGATATTATTTATGAACAATGTATACATTTTGAATGATTCATAGATTCATGAGATAAAAGGTTGATTTGATTTAAATTTACATTCAGACTAAAAATATAAAGAATTTTGAGAGGCCTTCTAGGTGATTGCTATTGATTGAGAGATACATATTCAGCTTGTATACTGTCAATAAGTCATTTTGTTGTAATTTCTGTATGAAATATTTAAACCATTGGATAAACTTTAAAATTTGCTGAATTGTATAAGATGTTTCTTTTAACTACGATGGCCAATGAGTCAGAAGAACGTTGTTTGTATGACTCTAGTCTAGGGCTAGGCCCATGTTCACCCGACATAGCTATGCAATTGTTTCTTTCACTCTATTTCAAATCTAACGAGTTAATATAATATTGTGACTGTCAACTCGAGCGGAGGCTTATTATTGTGTAAAAAAAACTGCCACCTAGCGTTTTGTCTTGATGTTATACCCACTATATATAACGGCTTTGGTTTGGTGACTAATTCGGTCTATTACACAAGTTTTTTCGCCAGTAATGTACACCTGATGAAGCCAGCATAGACTGACTTAGTAAATAAATGAAGTGCTACCAATGTTTCAATTTTCAAAAATTTGTTAAGTGTCGCTCTTGAATAACTACAGTACTTGCCTTGTTTAAGTAAATACATCAAGGCATTTACAGAATTTAAAAGATGAATGATGTATATTCGATTATTACATTTCACTAAGAAAGAAATTAAGAGTAATACAAACAAGGGAATCTGTCACGAGTTCAAATTTTTAGCTTTTCGATTATAATGCAGGAAATAAACATCTTTATTTTTATGAGTTTTATTAAGATTTATACTTGAATGTAGAAGACAGTATGCCATGTACGTAAGACCTAATAAAAAAATAATAAGTTTAATCACCCTCACCGGCTTGTCTTTTATGGTACTGAAAACTAATATTTTTTTTTTTACAAATTTTCTTTTTCATTTTTTTAGTAAATAATTGTATTATGTCAATCATGTATTTTACTTTGAATATCAATGCAACAGCAAACAACCCAACTGAAAATTTCATTTTTAAACAATCACTACCACTTGGACAGACTATAAATATTAACTTTTCTGGATACTTTTGCTCTCACTGTTAAAGGGTTTTTAGAATAAAATACTTGAAAATGAGTATAAGACTGAATTATTTTGATCTGTTTAATTTTGATTCTTTTAAATTAGAATTTTTCATTTTTAAGGGTTTTGTTATATTTTCTCTACAAACAGCTTGTTTTATTACTTCAGTAGTTTTTAATAGTATTGAGCAATAAATCTTAGCACAAGAACACATGGGTGGGAGTGTTTTCAATTTAGTAGAAACAGAAGGCAAATTTTTAGATCTCCCATAAGCATCTGTCACCAAAACCTTGCAGCAATGGACTTGTTAGTCTTTTGTAAGATGTTGAACCACAAATGTAAATGTTAAACATAGTTTTTACTTGAGATCCCATAGTAAATAGATTATTAGATTCAAAGCACACGATACTGAGGCTTTGTACTTTGGTATAGATCCATGGGACAATGTCACTGTCATCTGCAATTGCTAATGACCATTGTGATATTCATCGAACCAAGGAGGTATAAAAATATTTTATACCTCCTTGATTGAACTTACGAAATGTGCAAAGTATTTCAGTGATGTCCGGTTACTTTTACACCCAATATCCTCAGGGTGTGTGTAGTCTGAGATTTCGCTAATTACTCCAAGCATCCTCCAAGTAAATGATACTGGCTTCCATAGAATGGCTCAAGCGAAATGTGCTAATAGCCCCAGGCATTCCTTTTATTCGTTCACATAGCCAACGTGGCTGGCATCTTGACATTCCCGAATTGGATGATTATTCAAGTTACTGGACATATAAACAACGCAGTAATTATGAATCAACCAAATTTAATAAAGTGTCCAATCATTCTTGTGGTAGAGTGGCGGGAATGTCTGGATCGTCTTTCTACTGGTGATTTTCATTAAAGCAGTCCTCAAGTAAACCTGTGTAGATGTGTAGAGAATGGTTTGAAATTAAGTTGCATCAGGGAGTTGTCCTGGTTGCACACCAGGATAATATTAATAGATTCAGTTGATAAGGCCAAAAATTGTTAAGATGCCCATACACAGTGACATTTGAAAAATGAGGGTCGGACAGACAGCATTTTTTCTTTACTGCATACAAGCCTACAATTCTATAGTTCATTGCCTTTAGCTTCTTTTACTAGGGTCATAGTTCCATTCCTTTGACGTGAAGTGGAGGAAGCCGGTCGCAATAGTTCAGAACAAATGAAGTAGAATTTACCTCTGCCGAAATAAAACCATGTTTCATTTGTTTTACTATACCTCAGTAATAAACAGCAAACCGTCCAGCTACAGCCATTTCAATGCGTACACATAAATTTGGCATGCATATGGAAGTAGTAGGAACTACCGGGAACTACCTCACCACTCACTTTAATTAATATCTATGATGTATAAGTAATTTACAATACCGCAATATTATGGGTTCTGTTTTTAAATGTTTTAATTTGTGTTTTGCAGGTGTTATTTTTGTTGTTGGCGGACGAGGTGCTACCGGTGATCCCTTTCGAAGTATGGAATGCTACGATTACAGGAACGACACGTGGTCACAGGTGAAGGAGATGAATTGGAAACGCAGGCATGTTGGGGTTACGTCTATAAACGGTAAGAAAAACAAGAATAATCTTAAATCGTTAACATTAGTGGATAGTTAAGATGCTTGCCTTCCCATCCCATGGGTTATGGGTTCAAATCCTTTGAGAGCACAGGATTTCTCTCACGACTGAAACCATAACAATAGTTTATGCCTCACACCGAGACTTAGTAAAAAGCATCATATTTTCATCTCTAAGAGGGCGTCACAATATCAGATTAACTTTTAGTATGATGAGCTTGGCAGCGACACCCTCTACAATATCGTATAAAGAAAAATGTAAAGTTTATTTTATTAATCTAAAAGTATTGCTAAATCAACAGAACATATTCTCATAGAAAGATTGATATTGATAGCCATACCTAATTAGAAATCAATAAATAGTTTATATTACAATGTTGCTATTGTATTATTGATGTTTGCTTATTGTGGCATTATTAAATTTGTATAGCACCCTCTATGGGCTATCAGAATAATACAATAGTTTCTTGTTGTTTAAACATGTACTTAACACTGTATATTTAAACTTTTTTATATACACTTGTCAGGTAATGTTTATGCTGTTGGTGGCCTTGATGGATTCAATTTCTGTAGCGCCCTCTATGGGCTACCAGAATACATACAATATTTCTTGTTGTTCATCATGTTGTTAATATATGTATACTTAAACTGTTTATTTACATTTTTCAGGTAAAGTTTATGCAGTTGGTGGCCATGATGGTAGAGAACATCTGAACTCAATGGAAGTGTTTGATCCAAAAAAGAATACTTGGGTTCTGGTCGCACCAATGAACAATAAAAGGTTTGTGCCTTAAACTACCAGGCCAGATTCAGAATATTCTAAGCTTCATGGTCGGATAAATCTGGATGCGCCCCTGCATACTGTATTAATTTAAACCAATAGAAACATGAGTAAAAAATCCTCCTTCTCCTCATTCTTCTGATATTTTGATACTCTCAACACCTCAGTGCTTCTAAGAACATCTTATGTCGTGTACTACGATTTATATTATTGTTCATCTGAAAAACGTAAAACAGTTTTTTACTTATGAATTTAATTTTCTTGATTAATTTTTTTGTTTTTTTGCACACAGACGTGGTTTAGCTGTTGCTAGTCTTGGTGGTCCACTATACGCTATTGGGGGCCTGGATGATGAAGTGTGTTTCTCGGAAGTAGAACGCTACGACATCTCCACAAACACTTGGGAGAAGGCTGCCTCCATGAACACACCCCGAGGTGGTGTCGGAGTGTGCACATTTAATGGATGTATTTATGCAAGTAAGTATATAATGTGATATTTATATGACGGCAGTGATAAATTGAGAAGATAGCAATAACAATAACGCGTCTTGTCTGTAATCAGGTTGTTAAAAACACATTAAAAAATAAAAATCCTTTGTTTCGAATTATGTGTAGTGAACACCAATTATGACACATGCTTAATGAAAATGTTTTTCTTTAAGTATAATATTTGTGTTTAATATGGAGTTGATAATCTATGTTTGATTCATCTTCTAGTGTTATTTTAACTGCAATTTTGTTATTCTTTTTTTTAATGCATTTTCCCACCTGTGTATTAATTTAACTGTTTTTTCTGCCATCTTTGCAGTCGGCGGTAATGATGGCCAAGCAACTTTGAACACCTGTGAACGTTATAACCCTCACCTAAACAAATGGTGTGAGATAGCGCCAATGCATACAAGACGAGCGGGAGGCGGACTCACGGTCCTCAACAGGAGTTTATACGCAATAGGTAAGAAAGAGTGGAAATTGCACCTTTGATTTGGAATGGAAATGTGAAGTCTCGACACAAAATGAGATGTATTGTTGGCTAGTTCATATTGAAATAATCACCAAAATAAGTCTATCCATTAATTAATTAATTTTGAAGTGATAACAGATACATGGAAACTTAAGTATGTACTTAAGTCAACATGGTGTAACAGATATGATCTTAAAGCTGTCGAAAATTTCAGACTCTTATTTAAAAGTAAATGCAAAACTATTAAAGTTTGATTGTTTAATTAAGGAAATGCTGGATAATAGACATCTCTTAAACAAATACTGATTCTATCAAAGCAAAACTGTTAATTGATTCATTTATTCTTCGAAACCTCCAAACAAGGTAAATAATAAGAAAAAAAGTATAAAAAGAAAAGGAGTAATGTCCTGCAAGAGTGACCAAAGCATCAACATGAGGAAAATGAAAAACTTTTTCATAGATTTACAGACATTTTATTACGAAAATTTTTTAATTGATTACCAGACAATTAATGAGTCTATACTAAATAGTACAGAAAAGGTAAACTGTCTTTTAATTGACTGGGAATTTTTTTTTTCTTATTCAAAAGTCATTAACTTTCTTAAATATAAAAATTAGGCAATTCAATAGGGAATTGAATTTTTCAGTATTTTTAGCTTAAATGACATCTTTAAACCTGACTTTTAATTTTGTTGGAACAATCAATAATTGTCATTTACAAACTTATCTTCCGTACATAATTATCAAATAAAGGCTTCAATTTCATCACCATAGAAACCTTTTTGCGTACTGTATCCAGGAAGTAACCTAGATATCAGCAGCTGATCATATTTTTAGTCGGTTGAATTGATTACATTGTGAGCCCAAGCCACCTACTATTTTATGATATTCACCATAATTCTTTATATAAGTAAAATATGTGCTCCATCTTGTAAAGTAAAAATGAAGTTGGATGTGTTGGTCTGCAATGTGAGAGTGTTCACATCTGTCATCAGCATTACCATCCTAAATGCAAATTTCAGAATAAAAGGTAAGGGGTCTTGCACGTACAGACCATTGGGTTTCTCCTTCATATCATTTTGACATTACAATTACCATTCTTTATTTGCAAAATGTATTGAGACCGGAAATGATGTATAAATATTTATTTATTTTCTTTTTTTTTTGTATTTGAATATAATCAGAGATATATTATCTGTGAAGAAGTTATAAAATAACAATGGGGTTTACTGATAAGTTTGACATAAGATAGTATAAAACAAACAAATGTGATATAAGCCATTTTTAATTCAATATTTCAAAATTTATTAGTTCATCCTCAGGTATGAAAACTAATGAAGTTTGAAATATTGAATCAAAAATGGCTTGTATATAATAATAATAATAATAATAATAATAATAATAATAATAATAATAATAATAATAATAATAACAAATAGTTATATAGTTAGCTTGTAAGTTAACGTTCTAGTAATAGGTAAGTTTTAAGATTTTTTTTTAAAGAAAGCAAATCAGACGAATCGCGAACAAAAAGCAGCAAGGAATTAAATATAAAGGGGGCTTGAAAAGAAAAAGCACGTTGACCATAAGTCTTTGATTTGCCTTTATGAGACGGAACAGTCAAAAGATTTTGAGATGAAGAACGAAGATGACGAAGAGGAGAATATCACTTTATTCGGAGTCATGTTTCATACTACCTTATAAAATAAGATACAGTAACTTCCAGTATGTTACGGATAGAAGGGTTTTATGTAAAGGACATAATTATGTCTTTGTTATTAGAAAATATGTTCTCATTTATTGAAGGCTTTTAACTGAAATATTAACTTGATTAAAAAGAGGTGAATATCATAAGGTATATTTTAATTTTTGGCAGCAAATTGACTGTTAATCATTGAAAGCTATTTGTTTTTTTAGATCTGTTATTTAAAAGATCTGTGGTTAGTTTTTGATAAAGCATTTCAAAGTTTTTGTAAGGTTTTTTTTTGGTTGACTGTATTCTTTAGATAAGAAAGTATAATACATACTCCAAGTATTGAAATACACGCCATCGTGTTGGGATTCAATATTTCGACATTAATTATGTCATCATCAGGAATGAAAAAATTATCCATATTAGCAAGACACTATCAGATCGTGAAGAATGTTCTTTAAGTCTAGTTATTAAGCACCTATCTGTCTTACCAATATAATCACTATTGCAGCCTGGACATTTAAAATGATAGACAACAGAACTTCTGTACTCCTTAGGGGTTTGCATATGACCGTATTCTTTAGAAGTACAGAACATGAAAAGAAACTTAAACTGCAGTAATAACTTACAAATAAGTCATAATAATTGCTAAGTAACGTTTTAGAACTAAGAATTATTCTGGTTTTTTTTTCTTATAGGTGGATTTGATGACAGTTCACCATTGAATACTGTTGAAAAATATGACGTTGCAAATGACAAATGGAAATTCATAAAACCAATGAACGTGTGTCGTGGTGGTGTTGGAGTCACGACCATGTGTGGAAAAATATTCGCAGTTGGCGGTCACAACGGATCAGCCTATTTAAGTTCTGTTGAGTGCTATGATCCAGATACAGACAGGTACAATACCAGTACTTTGCTAGCATTTGTTGATTATGTTGATGCATTATGACCATATAAAGGTACATGACCATATTTAGATGCATCATGACCATATATAGATGCAACCTGGTCTTGGTGTGGTATAACGTCCAACTAATTGAGCAATGTTTAAAAAAAATTGGTGTGATTTTCATGTCTATTAGAAGTCATCCTTATTCTGATAACACTGTGAGCAGTGGCTCTACCTGAGGTTTACAAATAAGGAGTCCAAGTTTGCCAACAGGAGGTCAAATATCCCCAAAGAGAGGTCGAAGATCTTTGACAAGAGTTCCCACCTCCACCAGTGTGACAATATAGATGCATGACCATTGCATGACAAACGCCTGGTTTTTGCCAGAGTCGGTCACAAGTGCATCATGATCACAGGTACATGATCATGTAGATGCATTATAGCCTTATAAAGATGCAAAGTTACCATATTTAAATAATTTATGATGATATTTTGATAAATGATTAACATATATAGGTGAACCATAACCATATATAGATATATCATGACCATATTTATATGCTTTCAGTTGGACGATATTGCACAACATAGCAATATGTCGGGCAGGTGCTGGTGTAGTAACATGTGCATGTAGTATACAGTTACTGAAAGATGCTACAAAGAGCAGCGGGGTGAGTTTCAACCAATCAAGTGACAGAACTGACGCTTTCTGCTTCATTGCTTCAGTATTGATATTTACTCGCAAATACTCATAGATAATCAGGTTTTTGAAGTGAAGCAATTATAAAGTTGGTCTTATACACCATTTTTGCTAAATTTGAAATGGAATTCCCAAGAACCTGGCAACTACCACTACCTAGCATTTCTCTCTATGATGTGACCAGCATTTATCTGTGCTCTGTGACTGGATGCCTGGGCTAGTCTTTGAAAACAAAATGTCATAACAAAAAAGAAAAAAAATAAATTTGGGGCGCATAAAACCTGCATATTTTTGGTTGTCAAAAGAAGATATGTGTTTGGAAAAACTAAATTTGCTCATGTTAGGCTGCTGGACGTCCCCCAGTGAAAAGTTGTAAGACATTGATGGTGCTGTTTCAAAATAGGCCCAATGAAGTGGTGAATACTAAATGTCCTAGTCAAAGGCTGCCAATAACTGATATATTTTCAGTGGCTAAATTTTTTTTATTATTATACAGTACAATCAAAATACCGAAGCCTGTATTCTGTTTTTTATGTACAGCACAATGAAAGCTTACTTACTTGCACTATCTAAGAATGAAGTATTATTATTATTATTAAGTAGGTACTATTTTATGATAGGGAAAATAACAATTATTATAGGCATATATGATGGAAAACTTGGATAAGGCAATGAATATATGTTGATTAAACATAACAGGAAAGGGATCACCAAGAATTTTGTTTCCCTAAAAAAATCTTTCAGTGTGTTATACTTTTCTTCAATCAGAATTTCGCTGAAGACTTAAACAATTTAGGACACCAGGCTTAAACAATAATGTAGTAGACAAGACTCGGCCAGAAAATTTCATCATCCCCAGTCTCCCATCCTGTTGCGTTTAGTCTCATATAGTCCTCCCCCCACCCTGCCAACTTCAGTAGTAGTATTTGATTACCCTTAGAAAAATAAGAATGCATTGTATAATCGAGTTTGTTTTTAGTCTTCAGAAATAAAATCCTGTTGGCTCACAGGATTTGAACCTAGGATCTTTGGATTAAAATGCTGGCATCTCTCCTTCCAAACCATAACTCCACTGTTGTTGTTTTCTTTATTGACAGGACATTGAGAGGTACCTATAGAAGTATGATTTCCAACAAACCACAGAGATACCTGTTTAGAGGTCATCTTGTAGAGGTCTCATTGCCAACAAAGCAGAGAAGTATCTGGAGAGGTTTAATTGTTAACAAGCCAAAAAAGTACCTGTACAGGTTTAATTGCCAACAAAGCAGAGAGGTATCTGGAGAGGTTTAATTGCCAAAAACTCAGAGAGGTACCTGTCAACAAACCAGAGAGAAGGGCCTGTAGATGTTTAATTGCCAGTACTCCAGAGAGGTATTTGTATATCTTTAATTGCCAACAATCCAGAAAGATAGAGGTTTGTCTATACACATAAAGTTACTTTTAGATGTTGGACTCCTGTGGATTTGATTGTTAACAGGCCTGAACCAAGAAGGTCCATTGAGTTTCTATAGACATACATATCTAAACCAGTACGTCTGAGTAAAGACATACTCACTTAAGCACAGATGATTCATTGAGGTTCTATAGACATACACAACTGAACCAAGATCATCTATTGAGTTCCTATAGACAATATCTCATGTCCACAAAGGCTAGAAAATATAAGAAGGAAGTGTTTTATATATTTAATTAGCTTTGCCCATTACAAAAAATAATTTTTGACTAAAGGATAACCTGTACAATTAACACTCGCTTGTTAAAACTGTTGGTAATATTCAACGCAGAGATGATACAAACCAAAGTAATAGTTGCCTGATACACACCACACCTTGCTAATAGGGAGATTTTGCAACCTTACAAAACGATAACCAATACGAATACGTCATTATCATTATTCGTACCGCAAACATTCTTGACAACATGCTGTATAAGCTGAATGATTCTAATTCTTCCAAAAGACTTTAGCCTGATTCTCACGAGAGCCCTAGTATCCGGATCTGGAGCTAACCGTTAGCGCTAACCATTAGCCCCTGTGTGAGAACGCCAGATCCATTAGCGCTAACCATTAGTGGTATCAGCGCTATCAGTTAGCACATTGAGCGCGTTTCTATCATCAACCAATCGCACATGCGCATTTACAATTTTACAGTTTGTTATTGGCCAGTTATTCGATCATCATATTCTTGGTATCCGGATGGTTAGCAGAGTCCGGATCCTGCTAACCGTTAGCTGCCGTGTGAGAACATAGCCATGAATGGCCTACGCTGTGACAGATACGCTACTATAGGCGGGAAGGATTGTCTAAAAATTTCATTACGTAACCGTATTCATTATCGTTTTCTTAAGCTTGTGAAAACTCCCTTATGACTGCAATACTGTTACATGAATTTTACTCTGCCTTAGTACCTCCACAGAGGTATTGTTGACACAGTGCTTCAGTTGTACCAATGAAAAGATAGAATACTGCGTAGCAAGGCGGTGCGGTTTAAAGAGTAACTCATTAACTTGGAGGTACTGCATGGTACCTGTATGGTATCATTAGGGTGGAGCTGTATATACACCACCTCACAATGAGTTACAATGTCAGTACCTCTGTGATACTGCTAAATGCTTTGTACAATTTAATGGTGCTTCATTAGTCTATTTCATATTGCATTACTTTTGTAAATCTGAAGTTCTTTGAAATAGTTTAATCTTTATCAAAGGAGTATCGTATGTCAGGGTAATGAACTAAAAATGTGACAGAAAGCACTAATAACACCAATATCTTATTGTGCTTTACTGTACATGAAAAATTGCAGTGACACGATATATAGATCTTTCCTGTTTCTAAACTTTTAAGAGAATTGGATCGATAAAAATTACAGAGTGAAAAAATAACAGCATAGGTTAAAGGATAATACAGTAATGATAGTTACGGTGCACCCTCGAAGTCGAGAACACTTATTCAAAAAACCAAATAATAATCTTAATCAAAAGCTAACCCTCTATAATTGGAGTCGGAGAGCAACCAAAATTTTCAGGTACCAATGTGGTCTCAAATTGGAGGGTGAAATTTTGTTTTTATTAATTGTTTATTTTTTTTATTTGTGTAATGGTTGACTAATGGCTCCATCCCTCTTTGAAGAAAGAGTAAAACCCTTTATTTAAAAAAAAAAAATCCTATTGTTCACAAAGGATTTATCAAGAAAGGATTTTTTTTTTTACAAATGTTGCTGCAATACCTGATTAACATAACTGAATAGAGTAAGATAATTCCATAATTATTCCAAATAGTTGCCAGGTTTTCTAACATATTCCGAATAAGTTGAAACATTGATTGAATCATACAAGATACATTCAACTTTATCTTGAATCTGTTATCTGGCAAGTCCAAGATTTTCTTCCATAATTGTCTCTTGATTTGCATTACATTTCAAATATTTTAAATGAGGATAAGTGATTGTATTTTAAACCTGATGTTGTGGCAATATTTTTTACTGTATTAAAATGTCAATTGTATATTTTTTTTTGAAATGAATGTATATTATATACCATTATAATATGTTATATATTATAATATAACATACCGTATTTATTCAAATAAACGCCTCGCTTAAAAAAAAATCCCCTTGAATAAACCCCCCCCCCTTCAAAAACCTTCTCAACAATAAACGCCCCTGGGCAGGGATTTTTTTCCTGAATAAATACGGTATATTATATGTTATGAGAATGGTTAAGTTGTTTCGGAAAAAAACTATTGGTTGGAAACATAATCAAGTAATATGAATTTGAATTATCAACAGAATCAAATTAAAGTCTTTCAAATGTGTATAAATTTTAATTATGGAGGAAAATACAAAATCTTTAGTTCTTTGAGTGTAACCCCACCCCCTGATCACAAACTTGGAATGACATTTTAGAGGTGGTTTTGTACTCGAGGATTGGAAAAATATACAATAGAGAGCAGGTCTAGCAGGCCTCGCAGCATCCAGCCTAGAACCTAAGCCTAATGAAATATACAATTTTTATTCCAAACCTCTAAGGCTAGCGAATGGGCTTAAACCACTTTAAGCATGTTGCATAATTTTCTTTCTCAAACGCTTGGGATGGGTTTATACTCATGGTACTACTGTGTATATTTTGTTTACCTTCATGGTGTAATCAAAATAATTGATTCTCCTTAGTTTATACAAAAGCATTTTGCAATTTATTTTTATAATTCTCGAATTAACATTGTTCAATTTAACCTTTTACAAGTATGTACAATTTCCATTTTAAATTGTGTATTTAAGTTTCTAAAAACTATATTATGTGTAATGCCTGTAAATATGAAATTTTTTAATTATGAAGTGTGATTGAATGTCTTATGATTGTAAGACACAACTAATATTTTCTGTTAACTTTATTTGGTGATATTGGAAACTTTAGCAGTGGAATTAAGCAATTTGTGTTCAAATATAGTATAAGTCACATTTGCTCGAATGTACATCATTGTCGCAAGAAAATTGCATTATGAAGTGTAATGGGATCATTTATAGAAATTAAAGCTGTGATATTTCAACCATTCACATGATGAATTGGCTATGGATGTTTTATTTCAACAGACATTAAATATTATGTGATGACTCGTGAGAGGCTGTTATGTTTTAATCATTTGACCACTCGTCATAGGTTGTCATGTTTTAATCTTTTGATGGTGGATAAGAATGATGTTGACAAAAAACCTTATTTACATAATATGTAAATTTAGTTTCTTATTTCTTATTTTAAACATAAAATACGATGTTTCAACAATTTGTTGTTGGGATAAAGCCATTAAGTATTTTCAGCTACGTTCAATTAAAGATTTTCATTAAAAAAAAAAAAATTTAAAAAAAAGCATCTTGTTTATTGAATACAATGTTGTTTCCAATATGCCATATTTTTATAAGATTAGTTGTTTTTTAGATTGGCATGTAAATAGTACAGTAACAATGTTTTAAAGCAACATTCTAGTTTAAATTCTCCTAGATCCTACTAATTCATATACAAATAATTAAGTACGCCTGCACTGAGTATGAGTTATTCAACTGTCTTGAATTCTTTCTATAATACAAAGAGCTCATAGCAAATATTAGGGAGTTTCGCTGCACAACGTTAAAGATGTACTGTCCCTTGAAAATGACCAAAATCATTTTAAAAAAAATTTTGCTCATTTTGCACTAACAGTGGCGTAGAAAAATATTTTTCATTGGGGGGGATGATTGGCGTGTTAGCCAGTGTCGTATCAG